TATTTATTTACAACGATTGATTAATTTATGCCAATATTTTCATTCGCCAGGACTCAAAGTGAACCAATGCAAATAATTACGTTTTGTCTGAAAAAGTTTGTGATATTGCAGTGATTGACAATGATATAAAAAAAAAAAAAAACATACTTTTTTAAGTTCCTGTATAGTATTACCATCCATCTGTTCAATCATAAATTCAATTAATTTTACTATATTTTTCTTGCGTTATTTATTTATTTATAACGCCAGCTTCAAAGTAGGTATCCAATGCTGTAATTTCCTTTCTCTGTATTACAGGTATATTTTAAGGTTTTCTTTGAAATTAATTGCTTCAATATTACAAATACTATATGTAGAGTGATTGGGCTCAGCTCTTGCTTAATTTTAGCTTCCTCACTACCACGGGCGGATATACGGGAAAGGGAGAGGAGGGAGGGCTTTCGAGCTGAAGCCTCCCCCCCAAATAGTAAAATATAACCATGTTTTATGAAAAAAAAATTTTAAAAATACCTCTTAAAGTATTATTGTTCGTGTAATTATATTTAAAAGGACTCAAGGGATCACTTGAACACCATTTCATATAAGTAGTTAGTTTCTTTGTGTTTTTCCAAAGTAATTATCGTTATTTTTATGAAAAAAAAAGTTTTCGGGCTGAAGCCCTCCCCCCCAAAATTAAATCCTGGATCCGCTAGTGCTCACTACCGGAGGTAGAGAACCTTTGTATTCGTGCGGGAGGTTAAATCGCGTTTTACGTTTCAGACATCAAGGATCGAATTTGGTTTGGTGTCTTGTCTGTAGTCAAATCGGTGTAACGACCATATCACCTGCTACCGTTTATCTGATTTTCATGAAATTTGTAGAGATTATAGAGCGGGTTGGGCCTAGATGGTCCCATATCAATTTCATTAGATTCCAAATAGTACTACCGGTTGCGGATGCGCAAATATATTTTCTTAGGTATGTCAATATTTTAGGAACAGCTCGATCGATTTGGCTCAACGTTGAGAGAAAGGTAGGGATTGGTAAAATAATGAAGCTGTATCGATTTAATTAAATTCTGTGCCGTATCTCCGGTTGCGCACGCGCAATTGTATTCTCTAATATACACCGATATTTCAGAAAAGGTTCTTTCTATTTGGCTCGAAGCCAGAAGAAAGGCGAGAATTAGTAAAAGTAGTATTAGACCTTGAGATAGGGACAGGCGGATTTATGTGGGGGGAGACTTTCGGGCTGAAGCCCCCCCAAAATGGTAAAATGTAACCATGGTAAAAAATATTAAAAAATTATGTCTTAAAGTATTATTGCTCGTTTAATTAAATATAATAGGTCTTCAAGAATCACTTAAACACCATTTCATATAGGTAGTTGGTATCTTTCTGTGTTTCCAAAATAATTATCGTTATATATATGAAAAAAAAAAACTTCCGGTCTGAAGCCCCCAAAATTAAATCCTGGATCCGCTAGTGGGTATAGGTAAGTGTGGAACCAATGAAAATGGCGAGGAAGCTAAATTGGCCTCACTTGCCAAACGTTTTGTTTTCTGAATCTAATCTTACATCTACCTTATAACTTAAACGTACTCATTTTATCATCGCTGATTATCGGGTGGGAATGTATCGTTAAAACATGAGAGTTTCCTTAAGGTTTTATAATTTTAGGTGAATTTAAGAACTATGAATTAGTCTGGAATGTATAAGGCATTTATTAATTTTTCTGTGGCATGAGGTCCATTAAATTCATTCTGGCTGTATTTATAATTTATTTTATTAATTTATAATTATAACTTTAGATTGTACCATTTATTTATAAATCCACGATAAAATATACCTTTATCAAAACATCCACAATCGTGTTATCAAATAAAGCAAAAATAGCATTAAGAATTGTACCCAGATTATAAACATTAAACAAATTTCGTTTTTTAAATACGATTATTTTATTTAAACATATCCCTAAAGTATTTAAGATCCAAACGCTAAGCTTTAACTTCGAATAACATTTATAACCGCTTGATTACTTTGTATTTAAACATTTCAAAGTACAATCCGCAACTTATAAATATATTTATTTTGAACTCAGATAAACAACTATTCCCTCTACATTCATGTATTTCATAGCTTACATTCATTGAATGGTGCATTATGGTAAGGAAGCTTCTAGTTTAATTATTTACTAAGTAAATAATACAAAACCGGGATATTACGAAAAACTCAATGGATTGAAATAAAAACAAAATAAATAAATTTATTTTCAATGATATTTATGAATCATTGAATGCAGAAGTGGTGTAACTAAAAAACTGAAACTTTGATATATTTAACGCTTCAGTTTATGTTTTACGAAACAAAATGTTTACGTTATCGTAGTGATGGGTCCTTAGAAACAGGGCTTATGTATAATATATAACGACGCTAATGATATACTAATTTAAAAAAAAACTTTTTTATGGTCATGTGGTGCTGAAACAGGATTAAATTATTTTCAATATTACCATCCATCTGTCAATCAAGAAAAATATAATGAAATTAATTTTACTTTTTTTCTTGCGTTTTATTTATTTTTTATTACCTCAACTTCAACATAGGTATCCAATGCTGTCTGTATGAATGTACTGGTACTAGAAAGTATATATTTTATATAGCCACATCATTTTTTCTCAGTGATTATTTTGAGAGGGGAAATGATCTCTTTCATCACTCCCGTAGATCTACCACTGCTCAATCATATAATTAATGTACACATATAATTAATATAATAATGACTTGGGCCAATTGCATCCAACGATATAATGGACGCTGTTACTTTTTCATTTCAATGATTTTTTTTTATATAGATGTAAATTATTTTACAATTCTTGAAAAATGTATCAAAGTACGCAAAAAAAAAAATTGAAGATCAGATTTTAGAACGGGTCAACATTAACAGTCGAGGTGAACATGTATGCCAATGAACATTAAAACAACAAAATAAAAATTTTTTTTTCTCTCATCGTCCCAAGACTTATATCCTCCTATATTGGATAATTTTTTATAATTTATAATTAAGTCGAAAAGCTTTTTATGTTGGAAATAACTGATACGCAACTGAATATTATATTGATCTATCGTCATCGCCATCGACTTTATAATATATTATTTTAAATGAATTGTAACTTTTGAATGTATTTAATTTTAATGATGAATATTGTTTTTTAAGTGTCGTAAATTACAATATAATAGAACCCTCTCATTCAATTCTCCCCCCCCCCTCTTTTCATATTAAAATGATTAATTAATGAAAATTGAATTTATTGCGCTAGAAAATTACTGTAAAATAAAAACGTCTAATTACAAACATTCAATTATTTAAATGCTTAGAATTTTTCAAATCACTACTGTGTTTTCATTCAGTTGCACAACGCAATGAACTTATGCAAGGGACGCAGTTCTAAACTTTTTACTTTTTTATTATAATTTTCTAAAAATTAATATAATATAAATTTTTACATAATATATATTTTATATTACATATATATATATTTTCTATCACATCTGATACAACTCTTTAAAAGAAACTTGAAACTTTTTTACTTCATGGCAAAGTATGCATGTAAATATCGAAAACATATATTGGTACGTGTATTTTGTATAGATATATTGTATAGTAATTCGATGTATCGAAAAAATATATATATATCGATATTTCGGTATATCGAGCTCTGATATTTTTAATCTTTGAAAAGAGTAGCTATGAAAACATCGAGACATAAAGTATAAATAGCTTTCGAATATCAAAAATACTTACATCAATTATTAAGAACTGACCAACAAAATAAATAAAAAATAATCTCGAGGAGTTGGTTGGGAGTTGCGGTCAAATAAATACTAAATTTTTAAAAATAGTATTTTTTAATAATTTAGTATTTATCTTTGCAACACCTCCCGACCAATTCCTTCTCATATTATATCACGGTCAACCATCTACATCATTAAAAAATTATCTTATTTTATACGATAACCAGTGGGGCTTTCCTTGCATTCATTAATGTTGCCTAATTGCGAGACTTAGACGAGTCTTGGTCTTGCACTCCCAGTCTTGGATTTGGTCTGGCGCAAGAGTCTCACAACAGTCTTGTAGTTACCTATCAGAAAAATCAGAGGCATTAAATGCATAAGTTTGTTGGTTATACCATTTTTTTATATATAGTAACTAAAATTGTCAAGTATAAGTAACTATTTTGCCTTAATTTTTTTTTGCCAGGCTTGAACCATCCCAGGGTCAAAGTTTTGGAAAAAATTGTGTATTATTGCGACGTCCAGTAATTTCGTATGGACAATTATATGTGGCAGCAAGTAGAGCACGTTCATTTAAAATTTTGAATTTTTTATTTCCCTTGGCAATGAGCTAGGCTATGTACTAAACAATAACAGAACATTCAAAAAGAACATTGTCCTTCAGAGAAGTTTTGAATAAAAAATGGATTTAAACTGAGTTGAAATTGCTAATTTTAATTTATTATTTACTTGCGTAATCATAACATTAAATTATTGTGATAACACACATAAATTGAATATTTTGTATTACTTATAAGGAATTTTATGTAATTTAAGCTTGATTTTTAATTGAAATTGAAATTTTTTTAATATTAATTAATGAGGTTTTTCGAATCGTGATTTACTCTTTATTTATTGAATTTATTTTTTAATTGATTTTATGTTTTCCTCAAATTTTTAATGGCTATGGTCGAATATAGACCACTGGGCGAACATCAGTTATAATTAAAATACGATAGATTCAGATTGTAAAGTGTTGAATTTTTGCCACATCCAATTTGTTACTGAAAGAAATGCATCGAAAAAGAACAAGATTTGCATCTCTTATCACTATCGTTGATAACAATGATACAAAAAGAATTGTAAACATAAAAAAAAAAATAAAAACTTTAATGAAACATTTAATTACTAAGTTACTGTAATTATTGTTAAAACCTATTTCTAAAGTTAAACAAATAAAATAAATATCATGAATTGACTTACGTTTCCCGATCAGTCCCTGAATTATACTGTCTATTTATTATTATCTCTTGTTAACTCCCTTATCGTTATGATAGTGTTTACATTCTTAACGCGGTAGAACCTCCGTGTGCACCGTGTAACTATTATTGTTGTTCGAAGTTGTTCAGTTGGTGCGTGGGTTTTTTTTAAGGAAGGGGAAAATAATATGAATGTTTTCATATTTTTCGCTCTTTTTACAGTATGTTCGGCTTCTAACATTTTGCTTATGTTCCCGATGTCGGCCAAGAGTCATGTAAATTCCTTCGTTCCGCTCTTCAAGAAGTTGTCAGAAAAAGGTCACAACATCACCATGGTGACATCTTTTGAACCCAAGGTCCAGATACCCAACTGCACGTATATAATTGTGAAAAATATCATGGAGGATTATCTTACTGATAGTCACGGTAATAAAAACATAGCAAATTGTCATATTAAAATTAGTTGAATGAAGTTTTAACAATTTTATTTTTTTAAATAAATTTTAGTACAGGAAGACGTTCAAATTTTCCGGGAATTGAAACCATTTTCCATCTGGCCCCTCATATGGAACATCCACTTGGAAATAATTGAAAAATTATTGGAAGGTGACTGCTTGCGAGAGCTCATGTCGGGGGATTATTCTTTTGATGTGATGATATCGGAAACACTTTACCTGTTTGAAATATTCGTAGCCTTTGGGCATATATTCCAGGTACCGGTGATAAGCATCGATGCCCACCCGATGTCTGCTTGGTCGGCTTACCTTACTGGGAATGTCCATCCATATTCTTATGTTCCCAATTACAGGTTACCAATCACTGATGAAATGTCGCTTATGGAACGGGTAGAAAATACACTGCTGAACCTCGAAGAAATGTTGGGTTCATATTTTTACTACATGCCGAGGCAGGTAAATAGTTTAGTATATAGTTAAATTATTTTTCTATGCATGTGATGATTGGTCTTTTGCCCTGAATATATTGTAATAAAAATAAAGGTGATTGATGAGGGTCAAGTTTGCGTACAATTTGAATAAAAAATTATCCATTATTATATTTGTTAGTTATCTGAAATATTTATTATTAGTATTTTGTGATACATTTTTTAAAGCCAAGGAATAGTTTTTTAGCCCAAGCATCTTTTGGTTTTTATAATTTAATATACATTTGTAATTATTCAATACTAATCAGGAATATATATTTTTTTTATTTTACATGCAAAAAATAATAATAAAGAAACAAATAAATAATATTCTTGAAATCCGAAAGTAAAGATAAAAACCTGTTGAGCGCAACACAAAACTTTCACTTACCTCTGTATTAATACAAATTATTTTCTGCAAATGTTGGGTTAATATAATATTTTATAAGTGAATATTTAACCGAGCTATAGTTTAAAGCTTACAGTTAACAAAGCATTAATACCATTAAAATAACAAAAATCATATTTGTTATATCAACGGGGTTGATTAGGGATTGTACGACTATTAGTTATTAAACTGTTATCTTCTTTTGCAAAGTTTACTAAAATTGGAATTAAGAGATTTGCATTGTCTGTCATAGATAGATCAAAAGTTTTCATACTAATTGTTACTGGATACTGTAGGAATATCACAAAGGGAAATTTCATCAAATTATTCACTTATTTAATTTCCTGAAAGCTTACACGATGATTTTTTGTGATAAACGAACGATAGATACCTAATTATTTAAATATAATATCAGTTTTAGAGTTATTAAACTGCAGTAAATGTATTTAAGATTACATATCCATGAAATATTTTTATATTTCACACAACTATAATGAAATAGTATTTTAAGCAATGTCATTGTCTTGATTCAGTGAATTTTAAATATTTTTTCAAATTAAAAAAAAAAAAGTTAAACGTTTACATTTAGTATGAAACTTTCAATAGTGTTAGTTTTCTGAAATTATTATTTATATTTTTTTCGTTACTCTCTGTTACTTTTTACAACTTTATTTATTAAATATTATTTTTTCTAAAATTCTCCGCTTTCCAACGATATATTATACTTATACCTTCTTCCTATTATTTCCAGAGATTCATTTTCGACCTGGATAAGTATTTTTCGTTTTTTCTACTTTATATTCAATTATCAAATTATTTCAAAAGTTACATTTAGCTTTTTTTCATAACTCCTAACAAAGAGATGGTTAATTATTTACAAGGAAACAAATTAAAGGTATTTTAAAGGAAGACATTTTAAACATTGGGCATTTAAGCCCTGTTAAGCGACATCAATAGGGATAAGGCCTGAATGATATTAAAGTTCACTTAATTGTACATTGATAAACCGAGTTTAATCAAAATCGTTTCAGATGTTGTAGAGAAAATCGTAAAAATGTGGAATATCGATGGTTATAAAGTGGCACTTCCAGTAAGCAGATTTTAACGAAAAAGTTGCTGTCACATGGGAACCATATACAAACCTGAAATAGAAAATTTAAGTTTCGTACGACTTTTCGTTTTTGGGCTAGACTCACACATACACACACAGACCATTTTGCGGTACTTTGTTATTTCGGCTCAGGGGACCTCAAAACATGTATTTCCGTTGAAAACTGAAATTCGAAAATTTTCACGATCGCATTACTTTCCCTTATAATGTATTCCATATATATGTGTCAAATGGAATTGATGTTTTATGGAACGAATACCAGGATATGTGCTCAATATTTTAAACTTTTATTCATGTTAAACCTTAAATTCATATTAAAAATTAAATTCAAAACATTAAATTCGTGTTAAAACTGTCTATTTGATGATGACTGAACTTGAAATGGGTAGTTATTTTGATATGGTTTTATTTATTTATTGTTGCTCACACTCGCTATCACTCCATCTCATTCTCACTTAGTCTCTCTATCTCATAACCACTTCTTCATCCCTGCCACTCATTCTCTCCCACCCTTTTCCTCATATATCACACTGTAGTTAATTAATCATAAATTTTTATTGGAAAATTCTTCCTCGAAAACAAGCATAAAGTTAATTTTATTGCACTTCCATTATTTACTGTACCTTGATTCCAATAATTTTAATATTTAACTTGTTTGATTATTTTGTGATTAAAGTATAGGCAATAAACTTGCAGAAATTCGACGATATTTTATATTAAGGTCCTTTCTAATGACTTTTTTTTTTATAGGAAGAATTAATGAGGAAATATTTAAATTATGAAAAATACAATTTTCCTCCATTATTGGATATGCTGCAAAATATTTCCCTAACGTTAGTGGATTCCCATTTTTCGTTGGGATACGTTCGACCATATCTTCCGCATACAGTTGAGGTCGCAGGATTAACATTTAGTGAAGGTGGTGAGCTGAATGAGGTAAGAATATTAATTTAGGAATTGCAATGTTGTTCTTTTGTAAAGAAATATCAGTAAGTTTTTATTCAGTTAAAATGCACCGAATACCTTCCACTTCCATCTTTCGTGTAATTTTTGGATTTTGTCTTTTTTCTTAGGGCACCACTAATGTCCCTCCATGCGTTATTGTAAGAGCTAAATCAATAAATTCGTTTACCAAACTAGAATAAAAAATATTTATTTGCCATACCTTCTTTTTTGAAATTTTATCTACCTGTTCACGATATATAAAAGGGAAAGCGAATGAAAAGCCAAAATGTTTTCACACTCGTTATTCTTATAACCTACTTCTAAACTAGCAGAAAATTATTGTAATTAGAAAAATCCATTCATGTGTACACGAGATATAAAAAAAAAAAAACGAATGAAAAGTCAGAAAAATATCCACAGTCGTTTAGTTTTAAAACAGGCTCGCTAATAAGAAGTTAACATTTCAGTTATTCGAATATTTTGTTGAACAGTTTGACTGACGAACAGAAATGTAACTTCATTCTATTTTTTATTTAGAAAAAAAAATTATTGTTATTTGTTCAGTAGCTAAAACGATAAATCTTTCGTTATTTTAAATAAACCTTAATTTTTTATCTTATCCTCCATCATTTATTTACAAGCAATTTACAAAATATATATTGCTAAAAAAATATGTATATTTTCTGGGCCACGTATGCATAGTGTCCCGTAAGTAGAGGGAGATTTTTATAGGAGTGATAGTAAACCTTAAGAGCTACAAAAAAGTTCATATAAACAATTGGCCAATTTTCATCAGAAAAGTTTCCTTATAAAGTGGTTTTGAAATTTTACTTTCCTCTCAGATTTCTATCATAGGAATTTATAAGTGACAAACTTAATATTTATAGCCTTAATATTTCCGTTTTATGCAAATAATTGAAGCAATCTTTCTTTATTTTAACCTAAATTTTAGTAAGAAATATTAACTTTGTCACTTATAAATATGCAGCAATTTCTATGACGGAGATATGGGTGAAAAACATTTAATTATTATAAAATCATATTTTTATTAATTTTTTAATTTTTTAAAATAATATGTGTTTTTAGGCAATTAAATTATAATACACCCTATATTAACACGGAAAACTTTTACTTGTAGTCTTTTTCCTGAAAACTTTTAGGTGACAGGATGGAAAATAACATAATTTCTTTACATAACTTGAAGTGAATCTCACAATTTTTTGTAATACAACTCAACTCAATAAATATGGACATAAAACTTATTAAACGAGGGAGCTTTTCTAAAAATAGGGTAACTGTAGTACTGTTGAAGGGTGACAAAACAATCACAAATAATTTATGACTTTTTTTTAAACGGTACTTGTCCGCTCAATAGTTTTCTCTGAATAGTTTTAACAATGACAAACGCTACTTCGTTTAAATTAAATTTTGAATAGTTTACTATGGATCAATGCTTGATTACTTAAGTCAAATATATTTAAGTTATCGCTTCCTATTTAACCAAAAACGTGAATCGCTTAAAAAAAAAAATACCGATCTTAAATTTCCCATTTTTCTGCTGGAAATTGGCTAATTGTTTATATGAATTTTTTTTAGCTCTTAAGGTTTACTGTCAGTCCTATAAAAAATTTCTCTCTATTTACAAGACTCCCTGTATATACACATACAAAAATACAAATACAAAATTTTTAGCAATTTTTTTTTCCTCCATTTTATTTACAATCTATTACAATATAAGTGCATGCAATATATACATATGTATCTGGTTGCTTTATCCTTATACTGCCCTATGACTAGTAAATTTTAATTCATTAATTTAAATTTGAAGTAAATTTTTACCACATTACTTTTAAGTAACTGGGATTGATTGGATTCTAGGGGTGTAAATTTGAATGGTGTATTATGATTTATAAAATTAATGGCACTGTTTGTTTTAATTTTTACAGGAGTTCCAAGAATATTTAGACGGATCAGAAAATGGTTTCATTTATTTCACATTTGGGAGTATTATAAATATTACATCATTACCGACAGAAATGCTCGACGTTTTTAGATCAACATTCGCAAAGTTGAAATATAATGTTGTAATGAAGTGGGAAGCTGATGAGTTTCCAAACAAGCCTAAAAATATCAAGACAATGCCATGGCTACCCCAGAATAGAATTTTAGGTAAAATATTTGTTTTTTTATTTTCTAAATAATCGCGGTTTACCTTGTTTCCATTTATCAAGTAATCATAATGTTTTTCTTTAGTGAATTTATTACAGGAAAAAAAAAATCACATTTTTAAATGAAACAAGAAACTAGATAAACCTTGGATCATATTTACAAAGTATATGTTTATATATTCTTTTATACTTTATATATTTTATACTTTACAATATCTCTTCCTCTAAACAAAGAACATTTGACTTATACTAGTAGTGGATCTAGGATTACAATTTGGGGGAATTAGGGAAGTATGAATTAGGTTAGGAAGAGAGAGAGAAAAATAAGAGAAATGTATAAGAGGATAGAAAGGAAAGAAAGGAAAATATAATGTTAATAAAATAAAAAGTGAAAAAAGAAGAAGAAAAATAAGACATAAAAAAAAAAAGTTTACTGTGTTCATATATAGAATACAATAGAATAGAAGAATCAACTTTATTCTGGGACAAAGTCCCTTAAGAATAACAATTTTGTACATAAAAATTAACATTCCATATGGCCAAAATACATATTACAATAAAAAAAATAACTAAAAACTAAGTGATAGCAAACGTATTTACCTTATTACATTTACATTACAGAACGTGACTAGACATCTTTTCCATACTCAAAAAGGAATATATATTTATATACAAATGATAAATAGAGAAAAATGCAATTTTGTTGCATAATAAATGGCTACCCAGCGTCTGATTGAATTGTAAGGAGGAATTGGAATAGGAGGGTTTTAAATATGGATAGCGATGGTGCATGGCGGATTTTAAGTGGGATGGAATTCCAAAAGGTAGTGGAGCGGACAATAAAGGAGTAGTGTTGATAAGGGTGGATTTGTGGATTTGTGGAAAGGGGTATAAAGGTCAGAAGGACGAGATGTTGTGGAGAGGGATTGGATAGATGACTTGAATTGAAGGAGATTGAATGCGTAGGACGGACGATGATTATGGATTATTTGGTAAAGGAATGTACCTAGGAAATATTGTCTTCTGAAGGAGGGGAAGAGCCACCCTAAGGAGAGGGTTTGATCTATGAAAATACCCAAGTTTTTAACTGAAGAGTTGAAAGTGATGGGTTGGTCATTTAGGTAGAGGAGAGGAATGTTGGTATTGGATCTGAGAAGGGGTTTGGAACCAATGACAATGGTTTGGGTTTTAGCAGCGTTTAACCTTAATCTATTTTCATTTGTCCAGGCACAGATTCGATTTAGGTCTTCTTGTATTTTGGCAAACGCATCATTACACTCAGAGGAAGCGAAGGAGAGGTAAATTTGGGAATCATCGGCATAAAGGTGATGGGAACAGTGAAGGATTGATTTATGAAGATCGTTAATATATGAACTAAAAAGGAGAGGAGATATGCTAGAGCCCTGTGCCACTCCTGAGGACAGGGTTAGATAGGAAGATAAAGGTTGGTGAGGAACAGAGACTGCTTGGTTACGTTGTGAGAGGAAAGAATGAAATCAAAGGATAGAGCTGTTGGAAAAGGATAACGATTTTAATTTGGAGAAAAGGATGGAATGGTTAATGGTATCAAAGGCTTTCGAAAAGTCAAGGAGTACAAGGACAGTTAGTTTTTTGTCATCTATGGCGGATTGAACATCACTAATGATTTTGATTAAGGCGGACTGCGTGGAGTAACCTGGTTGAAAACCAGTCCTAGTTGGTTGGACTGTTCGAGGAAGTTCGAAGCTCTTGATTGGACTATTCATTCTAGAGGTTTTGCAAGGTTAGAAAGGATTGAGATTGGACGGTAATCTTCAGGGGAAGAAGGGTAAGGATTTTTAAGTAAAGGACGGATATATTGATGATTCTGTATATATGTCTATTAATTTTAGGAATTATCCATTCCACTAATTTATAAGTATATGTCTGGAGCAATCCAATATAATTGAGCAGTGCCCTTGTATGAAAATAAAGTGATTCTCATTTTCTCTAGTACAGAAGATTGTATTGTACAGAAAAAAAAATGTTCTCAGATCCAAAAATTTCCACTGCAGTATTTAGGACAAATTTCATTCCTTGGAGTCACTATGGTTGGTGATAATAAGTTGAAAAATTTGTCGAGTATGGTCCGAAAATAAGAATATATCTTAAAATATATTTTTTGAGATAGGCAGAGATGATATTTGTTTTTCGAATATTACTATCTCCAGCTAACTTTTAATTTCTTTTTCGAAACTCACATAAATTGTGATAACTTCCCTATGGCTCCACTTATCCACACGAAAATTATCGTGAATTTAGGGCCATGCAATGTATGGAAAATGGCAAAAACTAGAAGGCTGCAAATAAATTAGGCTTCGAGATAACAAATAAAAACGTTTGGGGAGTTTTTTCTTTATTTATTCCTCATAAAGATGTAAAATCTAAAAGTTGTAATGAAAAAAAAAATCTCCCATAAATAATTTCAAAAATTATAATTTTTTTCCAAAATAATTCATATTCAAGAATTTTAATGGACGCTGAAAGTGAATCTAAATATTTTTTTCATGTCAAAAATTTTATATGCCTAGTTTACTGGAAGCGGCTTTAGGTTTTTGTAATTTATTATACAGTAGAATTCGTATAATACAATTAGTAATGTTTCTTTTACACAAGAAAACAAATCGACTGGTATATATAATAACTTACAAATCCATAAAGAGAGAATTCAGAAAACAGTAATAGAAAATTAATAATACAATTTTTTTTTCTCGGCTACTAGGGCGGATTAACAATATCCTTCGGTGATGGGCCTAATGTATTTCGACCTAGTATCACCAAAAAAGGTTTCATTGAAATTGGTGACCGCACGTCCGTAACCTCCTCTTGTTAGTTTGACTCAAACTTGTCCTTAATATATTAGTAAACATTTTTGAATCTGAAAAATACATTTTTTTTTTCCTTTTATCAGTAATATATTCTTCTGTAGTAAAAAAAATACTAAAAATATTAATAAATAAAGTAAAAACCTATACCATTACATGCATTCATGTTTTAATGTTATACCATTGTCTTGGATTCACCATTTTTAAGGGGCACTACTCTTTTTTGGTCAACTGTTATGCAAGAAGATGATTTCACCGAGATCATGCGCAACCACCAGGTTTCCTTCCTTAATTAATTAATTTAGTTACCACAACCAGACTCGAACCCAGAACCGGGAGAAGGAGAGCTCATTGTCTTATAATCATAGCTATATTCTGTACCCTCTTATACTCTGTAGGGGGAAAGCATAATATAATAATTAGTTGGGTTTGAGTTGGGGTAGGGGACGGAGTGGCCGAATGGGCTAACGCGTGTGCACTGCACCGCTGAATCTATGATATGAAAATAGTCACGAGTCCGCGTCCCGGTGGCAGGGGGGATTTTAAATTCCCCGCCCTCACCCCCTGGTCCGGGAAAATCCCTTATAGCCTAAAAGGCGAGCTAGGGAAGTACAGAAAAAAAAGAAAAAAAAAAAGTTGGGTTTGAGGTACCTAATATGTGCACATTTATTTAATATGGTTAATGTTCATTATGATTCAAAACCAGAAAAAGTACCCAATAAACGGTTTGCTTTTCAAATGGTACCATAAAGAACAAACTGTTTATCTAATGAGCCTATGCTACTCAGATGATTTCTTGTTTCAGCTCATCCAAAATGCCGCCTTTTCATAACACACGGTGGTTTCCATGGAATGATAGAGGCGATATACCACAAAGTACCTCTTGTTGTTATACCCTTCCTCTCAGATCAATATTACAATGCTATATTTGCTAAAAAAGAAGGATTTGCCTATGTTTTAAATAACCTAAATCTGACAACCGAGAATCTACTGCATGCTATTAACACCGTCATGGACAACCCTGAGTAAGCATGTTCAATAATGTATATTACAGTTTTCGTACTTAGCAAGCTTATCGGCTCGTTTTCTTTTTTAAGATACAAGAAGCATGTGGATAGGAGGTCGATGATTTTGAAGGATAAGGATCAGAATTCTATTGACAAGGCAGTCTACTGGGTGGAGTACGTCTTAAGACACAATGGCGCCAAGCATCTGAGACCGGCCTGTTTAAATTTGAATTTGTTCCAATACTTTTTATTGGATGTGATATTTGTGATAATTTCGGCCGTTGTGGGATGTATCTGCTTGTTTGTTTTTATCACATATGTATTCGTACAAATTTTAAAATATTTTTATGAAAAAATTTATATATTATATTGGAAAGGAAAAAAAAATGAAAATACACGATCGCAACGCAGGGTGCGAAAACCAAAAAAGAAATCTCCCAGAAATAACACGAATAATTAAAAAGTAAATCAGATATTATATATAAATTTAGCCTTAGAATTAAGTACTTTTTGTTTTATAGGATTATAATATATATAAACCTTATATATGCCTATATAATTTATATACCTGCATATGCTATAACTGTAAATATGTATATAGTAAAAAGATAGTTTCAAGTATATATTGATTCTTGGTGGAACCTCACACATATTTATTGTTATGTTCTTAATGCGTCTTACTTGGTCTATCAAATATTCATATGTTTAAGTATAAATATCCTGCTATTTATTGCTATACTTTCCTCGACCGCCTTCTTTCAAAGTTACCTTTAATTGATTAATTACATTAATGTATCTTTAATTATACTTAATTTCTTGAGTGGTTAACTGCGGTGGTTCATTATTACTTTACAAGTAGTAATATTTATGCTCATTTTAATTGACTTTTTTTTTTATTTCTTAATGACATTTACAACAGTATTACATAAATACATCAAGAAATTTGGACATAGTAGATATAATGACATGAATACACTTGCTGAATAACTACCCAATGGTAGCACTCTAATGATATGACTACATTAGGAGATCACGGGGCCATCTTCTTGTCAGACGCCTCGGAGGGTTATCAGGAATTGAAGAGGAAGCAAGGTTAGAAACGAGAGGGTTGGCACGATTCTGAAGTTTATTATGGAAGGATAGGTATCTGGATTGGGCCAGATCTGAAACATAAGGAACATTAAGATCTTTATGGATAATTTTATTAGTGACAAAGTAAGGAGCATTGAGGATTTTACGAAGGATTTTGGATTTTAAGGATTGGATGCGAGAGGAATTCGATGGTTTAGTGGAGCCCCATAGCTCAACTCCGTAAGTCCAAATAGGTCTTATTATAGTCAATTATATGAGTCTTTTGTAATTAATGGGAAGTTTAGAGCGTTTGTCTAGTAACTGCTGAAGTAATCGGAAACGTCGAGCGGTTTCTTGTCGTTTCAGTCCAGTATGAGGATTCCAAGTTAGTCGTTTGTCCAGGTGGAGTCCTAGGTATCGGATTTGCTCAACCGGGATAAGTGGAGTATTGTTAAAGGAAACTGTAGGACAGGAATTTTAATTGCTAAAAGTGAGTGCATAGTTTTTTTCAAAATTATTAATCAAAATTAAGTATCAGACCTACTCTTGTGATATCACTGATGAAACAGTAGTTTAAAAACTCACGTGAATGTGTTTTTCTATACCTAATGTTCAAAACAAGTTTCTTGTGGAAACCACACGATAATAATTTTAAATTTGCTCTTATTGTTAGTTTTTTTTTTTCAAAAAGTCGTCAACCACCAGGGTCATTATCGCCTTGCGTCAATGGTTAAATTTAAATTTTTTGAGTATATCTCAACCCGTCTTAGAAAGTCAAAAAGTCTGTCAGTCATCTGTAGTGTTGCACAAATGCGAGACCGAGATGAGTCTTGGTCTTGCAAACTCAGTCCTGGTCATGGTCTTGGTCTTTCTCTCACAACAGTCTTGCTGTTACTTATCAGCTTATTACTATAAAGATATTAATGTAATTTTTTTAGGTAGGAGAAACCTAACTAAGCCCGAATCAAAAATTAGAGGTGTTAAATTTACAAGTATATTGCTTATACCAATTATTAACGTATAGTAACTAAGATTGTCAAGTATTAGTAATTATTTTGCCTTAATATTTATTTAAAAATCGATTTTTTTTACCAGTTCTGGTCTTGGTTTTGCGACAGTTAGGTGGCCTTGGTCTTGGAAAGTTCAAGACCAAGACCGATTTTGGGCAACACATGTACATTTTCCATTAAAGCAGAATAAATATTTCGAAGGATATCAAAGAGTGCTCTTTCGTCTTCATTTGATCTGCATCCTGTGTGAAGGTGTTTCAAAGTTAGCTGTCATCCGCATCTGGCATTCAGTTGGAGATTTTGGAGCCATCAGGTAACCCTGAGTCAGATGTGTGTGGCCTATACGCAACCTCGCTAGAACTACCTCCTCTCTTCGCCTATTTCGGAATGAGTTTTTCCATGGAGAGACATCACTTTTAATTCCTCTCAGTTCATTTCCGTCGATAGCTAACCACATTTGTTAACGTTTTGATTTTAGTTTTGTCTAATGAGGGATATAAAGTCATCGGCAGGTACCCACTGACATGGAATTCCGTAAGTTATTGCATCTTTGGCCGCCCGATCACCCAGTTCATGTTCGGTAATTCCGCAATGGCCAGGGACCCATGGAAAGACCACTGAGATATTGCTTCTGTTAGCTGTCATTAATAAGAAATATTTTGCGTAATATGGTTAGTCGACGTAATAGGTTAAGTAGGGCGGACAGTGAATCTGCACAGATAAATAGCGTTTTCTTTGTTCGATTAATAATATTTACACTCTTGTAAATTGTGACGCTTTCAGCGGGTTAATTGCTACAGATGGGTGAAAAAGAAATATGATGTCGACCATTACACACAACCGAGGCTTCCACACCAGTGGTGCATTTAGACCCGTCAGTATAGATATAGTCAGCGTCTCCAAGTCTGTCTTGTAGTTTGTTGAACTTATATTTTTATTCGTATGGCAAGGTGGTGTTTTTGATTAATTTTATGGTTGAAAGGTAGATTTTCGGAGTGCGATATCTCCAAGGATGAATAGGCGATACATATATTTCAAGATTTAGGTCAAATATTGACAGTGAAACTCGGATTATGAAGGATGTTTTCTTTTATGGTAAAACTTGCTGTTGAGTTAAATACTGTCTATTTGGGAATAGATAAGTCAAAGTATGGTTGGAAGCATACAGGATTTTAGTGTAGTAGAGAAGATCAAGTTGTTGTCTTAGGTCTAACGGAGGTTCACCAGCTTCTACACATAGGCTAATGAGGGGATTTAACCGATGTAATTGCTTCAATAACATTATATATATATATTATATATATATATATATATATATATATATATTTTTTTTTTTTTTTTTTTCTATTCATTTATTTTTAATATCATTATCAATACAATTAACATCATCATAATTATCCGGTGTAGACTTTTTTGTTAATTCAATCTATTTAAAAATCTGATGTAAACGTCTTATTTTTCTATTTATTAACGGAAATACATAGCACCGATCCTTGAGCCTTACTCCCGCAACAAGCAAGGAATCGCTTCAAGCCTGGACCAGTCCTCGGAACGTCCGGACTTGTAGAAATATATTTTTATTATATCATTTTCACTAAAATCAATTATGCCAATTTTAGTTTATTTATATTAATACGGCTTATTTATTGTTACAAATGGCACTCAAGATTTGTTAACGAAACCTATTTTGGTCAGTATACAATTTTAGAGAAATATGTGTTCAACTTATGTTACGATTTACAATACAGATTTATTGATTTCTTCAAATTAACACCTGAATTAAATTCTACGATGTGTATTTAAAAAAAAAAAAAACATTTCTATCTTCTTGATCTTTTCTTCAAGTTTTTTTTTGAAAATGTTGTCTTTTCCTCAGGCGCTAATTCATGTTCTCTTTTATATTTCCTACATCCAAAGATTCGTGCCTTGGGTCTTCTGGTACATTAGAGATTTCACAATTTCCGTTTGCAAGATATATATTTGTGCACCCGTGGTTAGTCTTACAGCCTGCACTTTTTCGCTTAAGTTGCAGATTCAGAGCAAACCATGGAATAAGGCTGACGGTTGGTTTTTCACTATAACCCACGAAGTGTCTTGGGTTCAGTACTTTGTAATGAAGTACTATTTCTTGGTCAACGTGGCTGTGCAAAGTGGTCATTTGACCGAGCTCACTCTCAACGCCAGGTTTTCCTTAATTAATTATGTAATTAAGAGTACCCAGTTTGGTGGTGGCTGGGTGTGCCATAGGAGGGTCTCCCGACTCTCTCGTTGATCCACAACGAAACAGATAAATAAATAAATAAATAATTTATCTGCCGTCAGCCGGGTTTCGAACCTGGGACCTTGGGCATTGGAAGTCAGAGCCTTAACACTGAGCCACTCCACAACCTACTGCAAAATATAAATACTGTTAATATTTTATATTAACTCTGTTAAAATTATACATCAATACTTTTAATATGTTCTATCAATATTGTTAATATTATATATCAATATTATTAATATTTATTGTGCTTATTATGAAATGGATAAGAATATTTATTACATGGGGTGGAATGTTTGCCAATAGGTTTTAAATACGTAGGTTCAATTGGTGTATAAATGAGACTTTTGTTTTTATTCTTAAAAATTCAATTAATAATGAAAAATAGCTGTACACAAAAGCTTTTAGCTTTATTATATATCAAAAAAAAAAAAAAAAAATTATATCCATATCATATAGGAGAGACGAGTCTCCTCGAACAGTTTCATTGGAAAATTTACGAATAAATTTTTACACTACGGTAATCTTTCAACCTTATAGTGATTTAATTTTTGTTTTTTAACTGATTAAATAAAAGAATTTTATTAGGAGATGTTGCTACAATGATTTAAGTTTTGAAAAAAAAAAACTAGTAGGGAAAGGACTTTAGACCTTCGTAGTAAATCTAATTAGATAATTTCCGCCTTATAATGAAATCTAAAATATTTAGAAATATTTACCAATTCAAATTGTATAAAAAAAAACAAAAAAAATCATCTATAAATTAAATCAAAGAAGAGCGAAAGATTTATATATTAATTTGAAATCAAATCAAATCAGCAATTATAAACTAAAATAGAAAAAAAGGTAAACAAAACTTAAGTATGTGCTTAAATTAAAATTCATCAAAGAGCAAGTGAGTGAAATGAAGTCATTATATACTAATAAAACTGCTTCAGACTACTGCACTATTTTGTCTGATGTTTTGAATTTTACATATTTAATTTCTCCGAAAAAAAAAAATTGAGAAGATAACCATGTCACGTTTATCTCGAAATAGAAACAAAACACTATTATAGCTTATGAAACAAATACTTACTAGGAAAAATAAGAATTTCCAAAAATCCCAAAAATAAAAATTAAAATCAAGATAAAACGAAACGAACAGTGCACCTGTTTTATTGGGCCTTTAATCAGACTATTAAACAAATAGTCAGGTAAATATCACATTGTGCAAGTCACCACACAACACCACTTACAATTAGTAAATGTAGCAACTACTTCACAACACTCGCCAC